CTTCCCCATAACACCCCCAAGTGTCTGCACTTGGCCCAAGTGGAAGACTTTACCTGTCTCCCTACCATTTGACGTGTTAACCATTTGCCAATTAGTTGACTCAATCTCACATATTTTGGGACTTAGGAAGAACAGAATGGCCAGCTCATGGAAAATCTCTATCCACCAAGTGAATTCTCCCTAACTAGCCGGCTTGAGTTCCTCATTGGTCAGTATTCTTGAAATTGCATTTGAGATCTGGTTCTATGCTCAGGAAACCTTCAAAGCTTGGATCAGCAAGACAGCCAATGCTGAAGAATGTTGTATTATATTACTATTGCTGTTTAGTATTATTCTACTGCCAAATAACAAGTGAAGCTTTTTGCAGTCAATATAAGAAGATAGAGTTCTGCTGAGTTAAAGTTACCGCTGGAACTATAATGAACCAGGCCAGAGAAGGAAAAAGGATACTGCACCAGCCACGTTTTATGAAACTTGTACTCTTTTATTTTGCTCTGGCTTTGGGGAAAGGCCTGTCTGCTTTTAAAAGCTAGAAGTTCTTGATTTTACCCTTTTGATCTCTGCTGTAATGTAATCTGTTTACCCTTCCCTTAAAATCCTATTTTTTTTTTCATTCAATGAAGACCCTCTTAAAATTATACCTGGCATAACAATTTAGCAAGAAAGTCCCTGGTAACTTATTTCTGTCTCTCCTTTAAAAAATCACATCTGATTTTATTGCAGTAAAGTATAGTATGTGATAGAGCCTTTCAAAAAATAGAGACCTTTAAAAAAAAATCAAGGTCTGTATTATATTCTGAGGTGTGTTGTATGTAAGAAAATATGGCCTATTTTACAGATGAGGCAAAAAGGGGTTAAAAACAAGAACAGAGAAGTGGGAGCAGAATCAATATTAGAAGCCCGAATGCATGGATTTTTCTAAGGTAAAAGTGATCAGCATGGGTCTCCTGAGTCTTACAAGAGCAAACTATATACATTGGAGTGTGGTTGTACTGTCCTGCTCATAGTGTGAAGGCAGCAGAGATTAGATGTGAGCAGATGTGACATAAGGGAAAAAAAAAGCGTGGCCAAAGGAGGAAATGCTGCACTGCGTAGTCCTGGTCCCAAAGTGTGTTGGAGAATTGCAAGGAGAAGATAAACAAAATCTACAGGTCATCTCACAGTGAACACTGTTGTATAAGTAGCATTGTTCCTATTGTTGCCAGGGACATTATAAAGGTTTGTGTGAACTTTTATTCACAGAGCTCTGACATGAAATGATGTCAGAAATGCTACCAAATCTCAGTCAATAAGGACTTTGTCAAGGCTGAGAGAGGTAGTTAGCCCTATTAGTGTGAAATCAGTCAGAAGGCAGGATAGATGTGCACCTTTTATAGACTAACTAAAAAGCACAAGATTTGTGAACCTAAGTTCCATTCATCAGATGCTATGAAAAGACAGCATAATGCAGAGTCAGGGTGAGGTGGAAAGAGGAGAAGCTATTTTATCTGGTCTCTGGTTGCTTTTCCTGTAATGATTCCTGCCCCCAAGCTTGGACTTTATATTCTTGTAACTGGAATCTTTGGGCATTTATAGATGTGCTCCAAGAGCTACACTATTTAAAATTGCCCAGACCATCATGTGTATCAGTGTCCCTGCCCTGAAAAAAGGTTCAAAGTGCTCCACCACTAAAACTCTTCAAATGAGCATCAGTTTAAAGTGCACCTCCGCCATTTTTCAGTGCGGGGATGTGGATACACGTGATGCTGGAGTGCAGTAATTACCATGCTCCAGCAGACTCAATTAATCAAATCTGCTCCAACACGCTGTAATTACAGTGTGTCAGAGCAGCCTCCCTGCACATGTATAGGAGCCCTTCCTAGCCAGTGGGACCTAGGGTAGAAGGGGCCCTGGTGGTAGAAATGTGTCTAGAGTAGGTGCAAGTAGGCAACAACTCCCAGTCTTCCAGGGAGCTAGAGTTACCTAGCACATTTAAGAATGTGGATGGAAATGGCTGGAGAGATGGTGGGACCAAGCCAGTGTATAGATGAAATGATCTACTGAACAATGCACCAATGTGGCTAGGGACAGACATTACACATAAACCAGTTTAAGTGATAAGAAACTGGTTTGAACCTGTAACAGAACAGATATTCAGTGCACATAAACCAGTTTCAAAATGGCTGAAGCCAGTTTGAGATAAATCTGGTTGAATGTAGTATCAGATTTAATTGATTTGGGTCAAACCAGTTTATGCAATGTCTGTCCCAGACCCTTCCTGTCCCAGACCTTTCCAGTGTTCTCCAGCCTCTCAGATGCTTTGCAACTCTGGGTGGGGCTTGGCTCTCTGCTCCAGCCCGGCAGGGCTGGCCCCTCCCCTCTGCTCCCTGGCCAGAGTTCAGAAGAGACTGCAGGTACAGTGGCATCTGCCTAGTTTCCTCCTGCTCCTCCGCCTTTCCCCTCACCACTCCCTGCTCAAGCTGGGACTCCCCCTTCCCCTTTGCCTTACACAGGCACCTCTCAGCATTAGTTAGCATACCACATGCTGGCTGGAGTACATGCTGTGGGAGACAGGACAAAGGCAGACAGAACAGTGCTGTCTTAGGGTTTTTTGGAGGTGATCAGCAGGTAGATGGTAATGTCCCTCCATTCCTTCCTTAAGTTGATTAAGAAGAACTTGAACTAATCAGACAAGCTTTGTTTTGTTTGCTGGGGTGATAAATGGTAACAACTCTGTGTAACTCCCTGCTGTATAACTTAATGCTCTGTTATCAACAGTGAGGGGTGGGGGGGACTCTCTAATCAGAGAGTCCTGCTGTGGCCTGGCCATACCCCCCCTCAGCTCAGCTATGTGGAAGGGAAGGGAGGGCTGCTCTAGTCCCGCCCCCCCAGCCCCTGGCTTCTAGCATGAGCCACCGCAGGCATGTGTCTTCATTTCTTCAGTCCAGAGGGGATGTCTGTATGATTACAAACTGATTTAGTCTGTGCAGGTTAGACTAACCTGCAAAGATTGAATCAATTCAGGCTCAGGCTTTTTGAATGTCTGTCCCTGTGTGACTAACTCCAACATTTGTAACACTTCTGTACCTAGCCTAATCATTGGAATAGCCCAACGGAATGCTACATAAGCCTTAGAAGATCAGAGACTGTTGTCCCAGTGCTATAACAGTAACCAATGTATAAGTTATCAACACTGTCATCTCTGAATTTGGCCCTGTATGAGGTTTTCAGGAGGAACTGCTCCATAAACTGTATTTCCAGGTTCTAGCAGATTTTTTTTCTGTGTAGCTTTACTCCCTTGCACTCTCCTCACTGCACAAGGCCCCTCTGTGCAAGGTAATAAATATTTAAGGGAGATTTTTGTCCATGTCTGTTGAACTGGAATACTGAGGATGCTCTGTATCAGTGGGAACTACTTTTTTGGGAGGCATGTCACAAATTAGTCCTGCACTCTCTCTGAGTGACATTTCAGCGGCCTTTTCCTGCCCAATCTGTTGCTCTGGTTTCTGCTCTACCTGCCATTATGCTCTATGTCCCCTCTCTTATTTGCTGCATGCCACACATAGAAGCTTCTTGTGCCACTTGCATCACACGTGCTGCAGGTTGTCCACCCCTGCTTTTATCTAGGTCAGCTTGCACTTGGTACTCATCATTCTCATTTAGTATAACAAGTGAAAAATTTAATTAATATTATGGGAGAAAGTCAAGTCATGGGGAACAGAGAGCAAAATCCACTGCAAGTAATAAGGCTACTTCTAATGAGCATTTTACTCTTTATAAGAGTAATTGATTGGTGGGGGGGCAGGGAAGCACTATAATGTACTTAAACAGAAATGTGTGTGCAGCTCTGCATGTGCACGATACATAATCTCACATACACAGCAGGTCTATAAACAGATTGAGACCTTGTATGGAAAAACCCTTTGTACACGCATTAAAACTCTGTGTGTGTGTGTGTGTGTGTGTGTGTGTGTATGTATACATACTTTTGTTTCTTTTTCTCTCTCTTTGAGCCTAGTTACAAAGACATTTGTGTGCAATTGGACTTCTCTCTGTAATGCTTATTCAGCCACTTGAAAATCTGCTATGTAAAATGGTGATACTAATTGCTGAAGGATGAATCATATTAAAATCAGGCTGTTGAACTGTCAGTGCTCAAGTAACTAGTCTGCTTCATTTTCTGCTTCCTCCTGCAGTGAAGCTGCTTTTGAATGCTTGTTTCTTGTCCATACAAATAAAATATAAAGTAAAGTGTATTTAGTTTAAAGCCCCAGCAAACTGAAATGAGGTCCATCATTCTGGATAAACAACATGGAAGCAAATGCCTTCAAGGAAATTGTTTTAGATTGATTTTGTTCTAATAGGTGGATTTCTAATCAGCAGGTAGTTAGATCTTTTAAAAAACACTACATTGCATTATTTTAAACCCTTTAATAGGGGAGTGGAGCTTTATTTAAATATTTCACAAACTACAGCCTACTCTGTTTCATTTACTTTACCAATGACCATATCTCCACTGTGCTTTGCTGCTTCATCCCCAATACCAGATCAGTCATTATAAAATAACAGTTCTAAAGCTGTCTTGCCTCTATGGCCCTGCCTGCCCATATTGGACTGTCTTCTGTGTTCAGCTACTCTGAAAACCTTTCAGTTATTTTTCACCTTATTATTTGAACTCCTTAATGATAATACATCATTTTAGATTCCACTTGCATAATATGCAGCTCCACTTATCCAGAGCTCAGCTAAGCTGTTGGTTGTTTCTGACTATACTGTACAATATGAAATTCGCTATAACATACAGGCTTAAAGTGTGCAAAATTAAACACCAGCTGCTGAACTACTTGTTTAAACCCCAAGGAAGAAATACAATAATTATGATGATGAGTATTAAATTGCCTTCTCTACACTGAAATGTTACTAGATCTATCTAAAAATCAACATCTTGGTTTCCTTTAGAAATCTGACTGGTGAACAGTTTATGCCATTTCTCTCTCTTTCTCTCTCTCTCTGTATTTTACCTGATTCACATGGTCCATTGTGCTTCATGGTGATATTTCCTCTCTTAGAGTAAGCCTCACCGAATTGGCAGATGTTCTCATAGGTCTTCCCTTCAGGTCCACAGATACTTTCCTGGAATTTGCACACACATTGTGGTTCAGGGACTTCCCCAAACTTTGCCTCGTCAGCATCTAACCTGCACTCCAAATTTTCTCCGCATTGCCCGTAGAAATGATTGCCATAGTCCAAGTCACAGATCTGCCCTTCCACGTTCCCACATTCCAGACAGCAGCCACATTGATCTAATACAGTACCAGCTGGACAGTTTGTAGGCTTAGAGCAAAGTTCCAAATTGCATTTTCCACAACTATCTCCTTCCCTTAACAATCTCAACCAGCCTCTGTGGTGTAAATAGGGGAAAGTCTGAGAAACCTGCACCACTGCTATCAGCACTATTATAACCACCAGGGGCTTCATCTTGAGAATGTTGAAGGTCCTTGGAGTAAAGCCAACGTTAACAAGAGAGACAGAACGTCACATTCCTTTTCTAATCTACCAAAAACAGAGCCCTTTAAAGAGAAATTAACATCAGATTCCTAATCTGGAACTGATAAATACAAATGCATACAAACCTACAAGCTTTCCTCTAATGAAGTTTGGAATGTGGGTACTGCTTACATATAAAACAAACTTCCTTTCTGACAGCTCAGTTAAAGCATTGTGAAAACTGTTTGCTCAGAGTGTCTCCTTGAGCCAAATTTGCAGACAGTATCTCTGTTGAACTAACATTATATTGTAGCTATTTTAGGCAGGGCAGAGAGGGTGAATTGGTGAAATAGCAATATATGCTCATATACATCTTCATTTTCACTCTTCATTATGGTCTTAGTGGTGGAAGTCACAAAAAATAAAAATGGGTATAAATTGATATCTAATACCTCAAGTTGCTGACTCTTAGGTTTTAGAGGTGGCTAGCCTGGTTAGTGTGAAGTCAAGCCAAGGTAGGACAGAATGTCACCTTAGGCCAAATCCAGATGTACAGGTTTTTGGTGCTGCAAACCTGTTTGCGGTACCACAAATTGCATTTGTTGCCAGTGCTGTAGCAAGGGAGAGAGTGTAACAGGGGGCCTTCCCAGGGCCAGTTTGATGTTGGCACGCCCACCTGTCTCTGGGCTAACCCTTTGCCTCTCTCACCTGCCATGCCTTGATGATACATGATTATGGTGTTAATTGGGTGGGAGGCTGCCCATGTTGCACCCTGATATTTAGGGGGATCTCTGCAGCTTTGTTCCACCCATACACTGCAGCCCAAGCTTCACAGATGGCATCTCAGGCAGCTGAACTCAGCCAGATCCTTCACCCATTAGCTGTGGTCCCTTCTCTGGGACCTTCCACTTCCCCTTAGGACCTGGCCCCATCTCAGGGAAGTTGGCACTAAGAGCCTTTTTGCTTTGTGGGCATCCCTCACAGTGGGCCCCTTGCCCTTTTGACCCCTCTCTGGTCCTGGCCCCAGCATGGACCAGTCAGGTACCTTGGGTCAGGTCTAAGCTGCTTGCCTGCTTTTACCCTCACAACTCTACTGGAACAACTGAGCCTCAGGACTTTCCAAGCTTTTCCAGGTCTGGGCATTCCCCAGCTAGGACTGTGTGGGGGCTGGAGGTTATTAAGTGCCCCCAACTCACCTTTCACCAGGGAGGCGATTCGCCTGGCATTTCATGGGGCTGCTGTGCCACCGGCAGTCACACCAGGCCTCCCTTCCCTGGCAGGGTAAAGTTTTAGGTCATGTCCAAGACCTGGAGCCTCCTCCGTCCCCATAGCCCCAGCTCATAGACCTCCAAGCTGCTCCCAAACCTCAGTTCCACAAGCTAATGTCTCTCTCACAGCTGCTAGCAGCAAACAGCTGCTTCCCTATTTATAGCCTTCTCTCTAAAATGGCTGCTGTAAAAAGCACTTGGTGGCTGCCTGCTCTGGCCCTTAAAGTGGCAGGCACCAACAGTGCCCTGCCACAGGGGGGCAAGTGGGGTGACTGCCCCGGGCACTGAAGCAAAGGGGTGCCAACAGGCACTGCCCAGCCAGTGTGGAATGGAGCCACAAATGGCTCATTTTGGGGGTGCACAGAGAAGGGTAGCTACTGCTGCTGTGTGCACTCCTGTGCAAGCATGGGTGGGGGGGTTTCCCCCTGGATCTCTGTGCAGGGCGAGGGTGAGCAGCCCCTGTGAGATTTGCCCCATGTGCCTAACTTTGCTGCCACAGCACTACTTGTACATTAAACCATTTGCGGCGCTGCTAATTTGCAGCACTGGGGCAAAATTTGCTATTGGGATTTCCCAGTAGCAGCCCCCTTCCTTGCTGAAAAAAGCTGCACAAAGCACACCAAAGTGGTTCCTCGTCGGTACAAATGTGAAAGATGGGGGGAGCAGGCAGCCTTGAGGACAATGTGTCCCACTGCAAAGCACACAAGCAGAGGTGTGCACTGCGGCACAAAGTCCTACTATTTGTTCAGCTGCGAACACATGCCCCTGCTTGTATGGACATGGCCTAGAGGCTAACTGGTTCAGAACAGCAGGTTGTTACGTCTCAGCTCTATGTTCTTGGGCAACCCTGGCACAGGATGCAGTCTGTCTGACTCACAAAGGACTCACCCCCCGTCCCTCCCCTCCTCTACCTAAATGAAACTAATTAAGATGCAGTGAGAGACGCACCTAAGACCCTCCAGATAAGGGTGACAAGAGTGAAACAACTGCCCTAGGTCTCATTTGCATCCGAGATGGAACCAGATGACCATTCATTTACATGAGAGATGGAGAACAGAAAGCCTGAAGCAGAGACTGCAGTGAATTCTGGGACCAGAGAAGCAGGGGAGCACTGCATGATGGGGAATCTGTGCTTCAGATGTTAATCAACCCATGTTCACACACACCCAGCTCAGCATTTATCAGACCAGTTCTAATCTGGATTTGCTAAGGACTTCCCCCCACCCCCAGACAACACACAGCTCTAAGTTTAATAGGCATCTCGGGCTGTACATTCCCCGGTCCCACTATGGGAGGCCTATTTAAACTTGATTGACTAAAACTCGGTTGCCGGGTTAGGGAATGCTGAGGCAAGAGACCGAGTCAGAGCGGGTATGGGCAACATTTGAACAATGGTTAAGGGTTCATCACAGCATCCAGCCTGCTGGAGCCCTAATCCCAGGTGCTGTCATATCTTTCCCGAGACGACTGGTAGGAGTCCTCTCCACAAAAGGTTATGAGCACCCCAATAATTGTCTTAAGTCTGTTAAAAGACTATAGTAAGATCTGGAAAAGTCATGCTAAGCTGAGGCTTGTGCACAACAAGTAAAAATCCAAAATCCTGATGCTGCAAGCTATCTATTGTTCCTGAAGAAACCATGAGATATCCCATCAGTATATCTGCCACCCATAGGAATCTCAAGCTGGCTCCCAAGTATTTGGGTTACTCCCTAATCTTAAGTGTTTCCTGATTATCAATCAGTTTCCTGAGATGGTCCAAACCAGATAACCCCTTGTCAATAGAAAAGACAATGATTTACACTACTGAGGGTGCTACGGAGCAGCTGAACTGAGGGTATAAAAATCTGTAAGTGTGTGTGCTGCTAGAAGAGGAAAAGGAAGGAAAAGAAGTAGAAGCAGGAGGAAAGAAGGAGAAGAAGAAAACCCCTGTGCTGACACCATCCCCTGTCGTTCTTGGGACGCTGGAAGAACAGATCATCTCTCCCTTCAAGGACTGTGCTACAGACTGTGCCTGTCAGCTTTGCAGCCTGAGTACCGTGGACTAGGTGAGATCCCAGCGTTCTCTGTCTTCTTTCTAGGCATAAACTTCTGAACCTGAACTGTATCAGTTAAGCTTGAGCTAAGTTTCCCCAAATACTTAGTGAAACCAGGGTAGTATTGTCATTGTTGGTGTTTGTTTTTCTTTTGCATGTCTATTACTACTAGTACTATTATATATTTCATATGCTTAGCAATAAATAACTTTTATAGTCAAACTGGTAGTAATTGGGTATATTTTTCCTTCTCTGCTTCTCTTTCCTCCCGTGCTCTGCAGCAACGCTTCTTTTACCTATGCTAAAGATCCCTGTGAAGCCCAAATTATTGTGGGGTCTGCTCATCAAGAGGCCAAAGATTGGGACGTGCTGAGTTTGAAACACATAAGGGGATCAGCTTGTACAGGCTGATTGACCCAGTTTGACTCAGACTTGCCCTTATGAACTGAATGCTGGCCCATGAGGGTGTCAGCTGGACACCCAGCCGGATTCAGAGGGACTCTGTTCACCTGTGTGCTTGTGTCTGACTGCATTTTATTGTTGCTCTTATGAACTGATTCTTGGCATATGAGGGTGTCAGCCTGTCCATGCTGATCAGCCCGGCCAGGTCAGGCGTGTCACGTTAATTTGTGTGTGTTTGTGTGTATGATTGATTTGGTGACTGGAGGAACCCAGTCCCATTGAGACTGAGTCCTGCAAGATAGCTCCACTGGGGGTGAGGGCTTGCAGAAGGGAGAAATACAGCTCCGTATAGTAACACAAGCAGCACATTGACAGAATCACCAAGACCCTAGAAACTATCCCTAATAAATGAGCACACCCCAAAGTAATGGGCAGATTTGGTAACAAGGTGCCTAGACAAAGTAGGTTGTTTCCTCCAAAAACTTATGCCACTCTGAACCAGTGACACTCTAATTTGTCACCCTGCTCTACCTTCTGCTTGACTTCTAGGGTTAGATCAAACTCAGGGAGTTTTGCTCAAGGTTTAGATCCAAATTTCTCCCAAGAAAGTTTTACTGTCTGCACATATTTATACATGTAATTCCATTTTATTGCATTTTTTATAGACATGGCCCCAAGCTGTGATACCTGACATCTGTAAACTCTGGGACAGGATGGTAGATGCTTGGAACTATTGTCCTCCCTGTGTTTTTCTGCCTTTCATATCCAGCCTAGTGCTACCATTTTGTGCCAAGTCTGACTCAAAAACGTTACTTAAAAAAACTGAACATATCGTTTACAATAAATACCATTGCCACTGAACTATTAAAGCTTTTTTGAAACCCACCTGGGGGTTTCTTTGATTCTCCCTGCATTCACTTAAGTTAGATGCTTCATACATTTTTTCTGTGCATGTCTGTGTTCTTATTTTAGAAAATATACTTGCACTGTAAATTAGTAACAAAGAGAAGATAGATGATGGTGATAGACCCTGCAGCACATTCTGTTTGCATGTCAATAAACTTCTACTGATTTATGGAAATTTGGAGTCATTTCTGTCCTTGGCACATAGCTCAAGCGGTATTGTCTGTGGGCCTCATTTAAAGCCCACTGAAGTCAATGGGAGTCTTCCTACTGACTTAGTAGGATCAGGATCTATCCCTGAATTTCTACCTTCTTAAACAGTAGCTTAAATCAAGAAGGTTGTCCTGTCAGTTTTCCTTCCATTACAAGTTCATAATGTCTTTTT